TTCTGGAGACTGTTCAGGTCTTGTTGTAGGACTTCGCAGTTTCTTAATTCTGGAACTGGGCTGAATATCTTCGTGTCGTCTGCAAACAACTTCAAAGGACAGCTCACCATATCCGGCATATCATTAATATAAATAGTGAAAAGAACCGGTCCCAAGACGCTTCCCTGTGGGACTCCACTATGCACCTCACCCCACTGTGAACTGCTTTCGTTAAGGCATACTTTTTGTTTCCGGTTTTGGAGAAAGGATGCTATCCATTTCAGAAGATTTCCTCTGATTCCGTAACTTTCCACTTTGTTTAGAAGTCTTAAGATGGGTACAGAGTCAAAAGCTTTACGAAAGTCCATATAAATTATGTCAACCGGAAGACCCTGGTCCATCCATGTTGTCCAGTTTTCCATGCATTCGAGAATTTGTGTAACAGTTGATCTCCTAGGGAGAAATCCATGTTGTTGAGTTGTAAAAAGATTATTGCTCAACATATGCCTTAAGATTTCATCTCTAACAATCCCCTCCATCAGTTTTCCAGTTACAGATGTTAGACACACAGGCCTGTAGTTACTAGGGCTTTTCTTGCATCCCTTTTTGTAAAGAGGTGTAATGATGCCGGTCTTCCACTCTGTTGGAAGTTTGCCCTCATTCAGGGACTTCTGGAAATAAGGCTCAGTGGATAAGCCAGTATATCTGCAAGTTCTTTTAGGACTCTAGGATGAATTCTGTCCGGTCCCATGGCCTTATTATGGTTAGTTTTTCAGTCTTTTGCAGATATCTTCTGGGTTTATCTGTATGTCTGTCAGTTCTTCTTCGTAGTCTCTTTGCTCTAATGTGGGGATAAACTGTGTGTTTCCTTTGTGAAGGTACTTATGAAAATTTGTTTAGTGCCTCTGCTTTTTCTGCGTCTGTTCTGGCAGTTCTGTCGCCGTCTACTAGGTCAGGGATGCTGTCTCTAGTCTTTGATTTTTTATTTACATATTTCCAGAATAATTTGATGTTTCCTTTGATGTTCATAGCCACTTCTTTCTCGTGTTTTTTTACTGCTTTTCTTGACGCCCAGCGCGCCTGGTTTCGCATTCTTGTATATTTTATGTAGTCTTCTTTTTTTCCTGTTTGAATATACATTTTCCATGCTTTCTGTTTCTTTTTCATTTTTGTTGTAGTTTCATTGTCTTTCCATGAAAGCCTTCTTCTTCTGTTTGAGGGTTTGGCTATGGGAATTGTTCTTGTTCGTTGTCTCTTTTAGGGCTTTTAGTAAATGTATCCCAGCATTCATCAATGTCAAGGTTACTAAAGATTTTCTTCCAGTCTTTTTGTAAGTCCTCTTTCATATTGTCATATAAGCCCTTATGGTATAGCGGGATTTCCTTTCTGATGTGATCTTTCTTTGCGTAGCATTTAAAAGACCACACTAACATAGCATGATCACTCTTTCCAACTGGTGGTCTCATCGTAACCATGTCTATCATGCTCATCTCATTTGTGAAGACAAGGTCTAACACATTATTTTCTTGATTAATTTGGTACCTGGTTGCGAAATCCACATGTTGGTACAAGTATACATCTCTAGTGGCGTCTAAGAATTTCCCAGCATCACAGTTTGGTTGGTTGATGGAACCATCTCCATTTGACCACAGAATTTTAGGATAATTGAAATCCCCAGCTATAAGTACATGAGAATAGCCTTTGATGTTACGTATTAGTCTGTTGAGTCTATCGTTATTCTCTGTAGATGAGTTTGGACTTCTATAGACTCCAAGAATCAAGAGCTTGTCGTTTTTGTCTAGTGTCATCTCTACTGGTATCACCTCAAGGACATGGTCCAGTGGTAAGCTTCGTTTCTCAGCTTCCATGGAGTTGTAGTTTTCCTTTACATGCACAGCAACTCCCCTCACACCTTCTGTCTCAGCATTTGTATACAAATTATATCCAGGAATATATAAGTCAATTTTTGTCATTTTGTATCTTGGGTTTTTTGGATTGGTCTCTGTCGTAATAATAATGTCTGGTTGCAGTTCGTCAATAATAGCACAGTATTCATGTTTCTTGTTGGTAATGCAATCAATGTTCGTGTAAATAACCTTCAACTGTTTTCCCTTGTAGAGTTCTGGCATGTCTGCACTTGTATTAGAACTTTTACTTTCACAGTTTTGGCTTGTTGTATTGTCTTTTACTTGTCTTCCTTTGTCTCTTTGGTTTCTAGTTTGTTGTCTTTTCTCTGTTTCTTTCTTACTATCTGTAGCTTTGGGTACGTTCCCCGGACAACATGTATCCATTCCCCCTTCACTTCTTGCTGTGTTCTGTTTTTTGCCTCTTGTACTAGTTCTTTTATCTTTTCTCTCTCATCCTTGCTCAAGTCTGCCGTCACACTTATTCTTCTGATTTTGTCTTCAGCGTTTTTCAGCTTTGAGAGTCTGTTTAGTATGATTGATCTGTCTTCTTTGTTTTCTAGAGTGATTTTAAGCGGTCTTCCTCTTTTTTGGTTGGTGTCAGATTTTCTTCCTAGTCTGTACATTTCTTTAACCTTCACATCGACTTCAAGGTGAACTTTTAGGAGGGATTCTACAAACTCCTTATCTTGTTTCTTTCTCGTATCTGACTGATCAGCTTCTTCAACGTTGTATATGATAAGGTTGTGCTTTCTCTTTTCTTGTTCATCCTCTACTTTTTTCTGTTCGACTAGGGCCTCTTTGAGGTTTTTGAAGCCCCAAACCACTTTTCTTCTTACTCTTTCGTTCTTAAAGAGACTTGTAAGTTGTAAAAAATGAAATACCTTTTGCCATTTGCCCATTGCATAATTTGTGCCGATGAGTGCACTGTCTCCAGTATTGGGCTGAGTTCAAGCATTTTATTTTCTTTTCAACCTCAGTCATCCTTCAATTCATTAAATAAATAAAGAAACAGTATAGTTGCAAACTTTTTTTGTTTTAAGGAAGAAAACATTGATGTGTGCACAGATGTCATCCAAATAATCAAGTCAGTTTGGCCTTGCCAGGAAATGACCGCAGGGGTATCTGTCAAATATTTGTAGGGACCAGAAGAGACTTGGCAGCTATGATAGGTTTAGCTACCAGGCCACAAACACGCATAGGCCCACACAACACACAACACAAGTATGCAAGACTTGTCTGTATGTCAAACTTCACAGGTACAGAGGTCAGGGTTCTCACCAGGATTTTTTCACAGCATAGGGGTCAGGTACATCTAACAGCAACTTTGACGGCGCAAGTCATGCATCGAGCCGAAAAAAATTGAAACGCTTAACTCTCCTAAGGAACAGTGAAGTTAAGGTTTCCCTTTGCTATAGGTTAGTTCTTAGGTTATATTTTCATTTTCTTTGCAAGATTTTTGAAGGTTCTCCCCCAAAGACACCCCTGTGCTGGTAGAAAGACGTGCGTAGGGGTCCAAATCAGGGCATTGGGGGTCCAAATCATGGCATAGGGGACCTCACCTTCAGTACTGAGGCATGTCTGTTAGATGCTTTGAGTCAAATTGACCCGTGAGTCAACCGTAGTCTGGGGAAAACACTGCCCCTGACCTCTTACCGGGTAGTCTAGCCTAGTCTGTGAAATCTTTGCCAGGAACAAACTCAGCAGATCAGTACTCACACTATGGAGTCACGACATGTGGGAACCAAACATAAATACAGTCAACCCGAGAAAAAAATGGTCTTAGACAAGTGGTCTTTACAAAAAGCATGCTGACAAGATACTAGTAGGACAGAGAACAAAAAAACCACAGCAAAATTTTCACACATTTTACAATTTTGAATAGATCTGGACCGCCCCTTTGACCCAAAGTGATTTTCTATCACACGTTTGGAAATGACACAGTCATCATGGGCAGATTGCCCATGTGTGGTCTCAAATAGTGCCGGTGGCAGTTGTCTATGGAAAGAAAATTGGGACAGGGAAAAGCGGCCATTATGGTCAGATGGCCAGCTTATAAAGGTGATCACTTCAAATGCAAGACTGTATATTAAGTCTTTGACCAGGTAGGAACTTAAGAATTCCAGTTTTGTCATCAAACTAAATAAGGAACTGTTTTTATTTCAGTGAGGTGTTGGCTCTGCCCATATTCAAGCAGGAGGGACTTGAGAACAGGTAGGTTATATATTCATCCTCAGTTATGCTAAACCAGGCAAGTTTGGCGCTACTCAATCATTATTTCCATGGCAAATGATCCGCTAACTTCATTCGCTTGTGCCTCCACTTCGAACTTTCTCGGCGAGGACATATTTTGCTAAAACATAGTGATACTACAGAAGCAAATCACCCTTTCTTCCTCCATACTCTATGATCTCTCCTTACTATGGAACAAAGCTTCCTCATCACTATGGAACAAGCTATCTCCAAATAGTTACAACAACCTTATTTACCTTTTAAGTCTAAGGTAAACAAACATCTGTCTTCACAGTTCCCTCATGTAACCCAAAACATATACACGAAAGTGGTAGGTGTAATAAAATTGCATATACAACAGACCAATTAGCTTGCCAACGACCACCAATAACTAACATTGTTTTCTTCCCAGTTTCCAGTACATCCTGTGTGCTGCAACGTCCCCTGCTTCTAAGATCAACGAAGAAACCGTGACTTATCTTAACCAACGTAAGTCTACAACTCCTATTGTTTCTCACACATATTCATAACAGAAATTATGGCAATGGTTTCAGTATGAACCATGCTTCCTAAATTTTGAGTGGTGCAGGTAATTTTCAATTGTTACCTGCACCAGTGCAGATATGCAGACAAAAGTATTTTGAGCCCTGCATAACAATTGTAATGGATATAATATTGTATAGCACATTACTAATCTTTACAGAAAGTTTATATGTATCCTATTCAATTCATAATTATAGAAACAGAAACTACATTGTAAAGTAAAGACATGATGAAATTTCATACTTTTCTTTATCATATACACAGGTCAGTCGTATGAGTTGAGACTAAAGCGTCTGGGTGACAACAGCAGTTTTCAAGGAGGAGAGTTACTTAAGGTAAGGATAGCACCTCAGTACACACATTCTTACTAAACACATACTTACGCAGACTTACAAAAGAAAAATCATGTCACATTTCCCTTTTTGTTCTAAACCACCTGAAATCTTAAATAGTAAAAATGAAGAAAACACTGCCATTGGGCATCGTGAAGTGTCAGCCTCCGTAAATCATATGACCACAGTTTTGCCCAGACGTGTCCCGCAAACAACATATCTGGCTTCTAAACCCTGGTAGTGCAGTGCCCGTAACAAAATTTTGCAGTAAAGGTGCCCTATTTTCCTTCGGGAAATCGGTAGGAAGTCCCTTCCGTGTTTTGTATATGCCCTGCTTTAGGTCAGGACTTACAAATCCAGACCAGAACCTAAACGTCTGGACTGGACTGGCTCAGGTCCTGGAACTAAACGTGGGTTTAGGTACACAGCACCAATTCAAGACAGATATAAATTTGCGTGTAATAAATTGGGCCTGACACGCCTTTGTTCAAAGATTTATTGTTTGGATCTCTAAGCTCAACATGCAATTTGGCTATAAATCAGGCATCCATACAACCAGTGTAATTTGAGAAATCTCAATCAGTCAATGTACTCTGAGTTTGGCAATATGGAGTTTCGTGTTCAAAGTCACCTTGAAATTACATGTTATATGTTATGATTCACAGTAAACAGTATTTGTGCACAAATCCTGTAGTCATAGTAGTTCGGGCACAAATTAGTGAGACACAATACTTAAGAAAGCTGCAAAAATTCTAATATTGAAAGCTTGAATGGCTGAATGGTAGTTTCATGTACAAAGTCAACTTATTACATGTTGTATGTTATGATACACAGTAAACAGTATTTCTGGGCAAATCCCATAGTCATTAGTAGTTTGGGTACAAAATAGTGAGACATAATACTAGAGAAAGCTGCAAAGATTTTTTTTTTTTATTCCAACATTTAATCACCAGACGTGGTGACGACACACTCAAGTTATTTTTCAACTTATATTAATGCCGCCACCAACACAGGGGACAAATACATGACAGGACGATACTCATTTACACCTGAGCTAAGTGAGGAAAGTCGTGTAAAGTGCCTTTCCCAAGGGCACAGGATCGGCACAAATCTTCTGTGAAAACTTGAATGGAGTATTACGTCAGATTTGAGACTGAATAATTTGAATTATGATGTTTGTGCAGTTGGCATAGAGATTAGGGCCTGGATATTACTCTTACTTTGATTTAAGGCCTAGGAAAACAAATGTTGTGTTTCCTGTTTCCCGAATGATCTTAGAAAAAACTACATGTACCAACCTTAGCCTTTTTTTGTGTGGACTACTGCAAGGGACATAAATTTTTCACGCTGATTGACCATGATCTGACCATGATCTGACAACTGAGGGATGTAACATTGTACAATCGGTTTTCCAACATTGACATTGAAAATATCATCATGAAAAGTGTCATCATGCAAGTTTTACTTTATTGTATAAGCTGGATCACTTGAGATCAGTTAAAGTCTAATAGAAAAAAGAAGAAAAAAAGATAATTCCTACCTACCAGCCCTATTTTTTTCAGGACTGAAACAGGAAACACAACATTTTTTTTCCTAGGCCTTACTGTGCATTGGCTGCTGTTCATATGATTGATGATGACCCCCACATAGCGCCGACAAACTTGCGCCAATTTTCACATATTTTGTAGATTGTACCCTGAACACAAAGATATTAAATTTTTGTACCCCGCGTGTGCAGTCTACTAATATATATTTTGAAGTATCAAACCTTCTCACTTTGGGTTCCTTAACTCTAGAAATCAGGGCGAAAACTGTGTTCTGATACATTAACCATACATGTATATTTGCCCCCCTCCCACCCAGAGTGTTGTGCGAGTGGTGTTCCATGACAGAAGGCTGCAGTACACGGAGTATGAACAGCTGGCCCAGTGGAGGTCCATTAGGCCCAATGAAAGACTGCTCGATATCGGTACGCTCACACATCCCTTAGAAACTGCTGCTCATTTACATATATAGGGTTGAATCAATTATATTATACAACTGTAGTTACACAATATTAAAGACCATCACCATCGTGAACACAAATTTTAAAAATACAGCAAAAAAAAAATCTGACTTGAAAGTGAGTAGTATAGCTTGCATTTGCTTTTCCTATCAGAATTCTTACAAAGAGGTTTAACAACTGTTGTTTCTTCCCAGATATCCCCCTGTCAGTCAACATATATGATATCAGAAAAGACCCTACTGCTGTCAACAAAGTAGAGTTCCAGTGGGACCCAAACAAAGATACATCTGTGGCAATACAGGTATTTAGAAATATTTCTTCCCATTAGGCTCAAAATACTGGGTGTACAGTGCAGGTTAGGTTCCGAAATACCTGCACAGCTCGAATTCTACCTGCACTTACTTCAGATTCATATGCAGTTGGTATTTTGACCCCTGTCTAGTACATAGCATGGTGTTGACATTTTGTGTGTAAGAAAAAGTAATAGAAGAAAAAAAATTTCTTAACTGATTAAGAGTGTCGGACAGACACTAGAAAGGTCTCTATTAATTGTTTCAGTTTTATCCAGTGGTAAAATTTGAATCACAATGTATTTTGGAAACGGTCAGACGTTTCAGATACCATCCACTACCTTTTGTCAGTGACACTAGAGAGTTGATAGAAAAGCAGATTTATAAGCACAAACTTTTTATCAACTCTCCAGTGTCACTGACAAAAGGTAGTGGATGCTACCTGAAATGTCTGAAATGCAAAAAGTAACTGACCGTTTCCAAAATCATATCCAGTCGCTTGAGTAACCATTTTTTTGGCATATCTTGGATGTCTAACCTTCACTGACATTTCCATGTTTGTTACTTTGTCGCAGGTCCACTGCATAAGTACAGAGTTCACGGCACACAGGCATGGTGGAGAGAAGGGCATCCCCTTCCGTATACAGGTGGACTCTTACACTACAGAGGACGAACATCTGCACTCTGCATCATGTCAAATCAAGGTGTTCAAGGTGGGCAGATAGTTTTCAACACAATTACTGCACAAATTATCATGTCAAATCAAGGTGTTCAAGTTTGGCAGATAATTTTCCACACCAAAATTACTGCACAAATTATCATGTCAAATCAAGGTGATGCGCAGATAGTTTTGAACACAAAAATAATTACTGCACAAATTATACAACAAATCAAGTTGTTCAACGTGCGCAGATAGTTTTCAACACAAAAATTTACTGCACAAATTATCATGTCAAATCAAGGTGTTCAAGGTGCGCAGATTGTTTTCCACACAAAAATTACTGCACAAATTACACATCAAATCAAGGTGGGCAGATCGTTTTAGACACAATTACTGCACAAATTATCATGTCAAATTAAGGTACGCAGATAGTTTTCAACACGATTACTGCACATATTATCATGTTAAATAAAGGTGTTCAAGGTGTCTAGATAGTTTGATCGGATTTGGGGGGTACCATATTCGCAATCCAGAGGGTTGGGGAGCATGCCTCCACAGAAAATTCTGGATTTTGAAGCCTTCAATTTCCTGCATTTTAATAGGTAGAACGTGGGGTTGAGAGTGGTTGTCGGTGGTCCTTTGGATGTTTTAACATCTTTACCAAGATCTTCGTCTGTCAAGTTTGAGAAATTGGTTTTAAAATTTTCCATCACATGCCACAAAGTTCCAGCAATGGAAGAACAGTCACTAGTTAGAGTCCTGTTATGGTTTGAACAAAATGTTTCGAAAAACATTTTTTAAACCAACCTTTCTGTGTGTTTCAGCCGAAGGGTGCGGACCGAAAGATAAAAACGGACAGAGAGAAGATGGAGAAGAAACCTGACAAGGACAAGTATCAGCCATCGTACGAGTACACCATCCTTACTGAGGTCTGTGTCATGCCCCTGCATGAAACTCAGCAGGTGAATAACACACATACATGTAGAAACTAACAACCTTTGAAGGTGCCCAATGCAGTTTCAGGGTTGGTAAACCAGATTTTTTTCAAAGTTAATATTCTCTTATCAGTGATACAGTTGAAACAACAAATAATAGCTGTTGCATATTATAAAATATGTGTACAAATTTAAATGTAAAGTTTAGTTTGTAATGGATTTTTTTACCAATGGGGGTTGAATCCCAACTGTTGCTTACTTGCCAACTTGAATGCTAATGCAAAGAGTTGCAGTCCATGGGCAGGAATTTTAGCTGTGGTTTATTGTTCTTTATGAGAAGAGGGGCACATTTCTATGAAAATTATGTCTTTTGTATCAGGAAGGAAGAGTAGGTTTTTAGTATGCAAAAAATTCCTCCAGATGTATTTGTTGTGTGTATGTGTGCTACACAGATGCAGTTTAGAAACATGTCACTAGGAGGTGCTCAAATCACATTGAAAATGTCTTACCATGGAGGTTACCAGTATCTGCCTCCTTGATCTTACCCTCCTTGATCTTACCAATGCAGTTGTCCCTGTAGCTGTCTGTGTGGTTTATCCTTCCCTTCACACACTACCAGCTTTTTCAAAAGCATTTCTCGTTTATTCAATTGATGATGATGACTCAATTGATGAAATTGGATGCTGTTCATTCTATTTTGTCCTTGTTTCCATGTACGACCTTGTTTCCATGTACGACCTTCAGGAAAACCTGTTTCAACCCGGGACGTCACCTCAGCACAACGTTGTAAGGGTTTTAAACATTGGGTGAAGTCCTTATGAAATAACTTGGTTGTTTCCACTGTTAATTCACAATACTTCCATTGTATCAGTTCACAATGTCACTATGTTGTAGTGAGCTTTTAAAGTAAGTCAACTTTTACCACTCTTTCAGCAGTAGGTTCATTAAAAAAACTGAAAAACCCTGGTCTCTTTAGATGTGGAAAGCAAGAACAACTTATACCTCAACCACTCAACCATTTTTTAAACAAAAATAAGAATATCATAGATACAGTAGTCATGCGTAGGAAAGCATGTGCTTTCAAATGACAGATCCAGTTTGGATTTAAATCTTTTGAATATGGTGCAGTTCAAAAAGGATAGAAGGCTTCCCGAATGTAAAGTGACCAGTGTTACGATTACACTGTTACACAACCAATTTGTTTTGTAGGTCTACACTTGTTGTAACACCTTAGCATTATATGCTTCATGTTAACCTTAAGCACACGAAGTTTGTGTTGCACACTGAAGTAGCCATTTGGCTACCAATTCTCTATTGGTTACGGGGTTAGGCAGTAAGGAGAAGGTTTTTCACTGTTTTGATTTGTTGAACTTTCCATTTATGGTGATTCTGACACTGTTTGAATGGTTACCTCAATGTTGTATGGTTAACCACAGTGTTGTGTTTTCTTAACAGTGTGGTCCTTCAGATGCTTCCTTCAATTCACCTGCAAGCAGCAGCTACAACAGCAGTTTTCACAGCCCACCTGACGTCAACAGGTTAGTGCAAACCCTGTGTTAATTCGGTTATAATACCGTAAGTTCATCTATTTTTGCTGGACTTAATTTGTGTCAGTGGGGGAAATGAGGTTTTCACTGTGTTTTAAGTTTGTGATTTGTACGGTATCTGTATCTGTTAAGCCGGTATAACCGCCCTTCAGCATAACACACCAGCTTCGCAGGCACGCGGCACAGCGGCAGCTAAAGCTATATAACACCGATGAAAGAACAATATTCATGTATTTGATAGTGGGAATTTTGAGAATGGATAGGACATGTATTTGCAGCAGAAAGATTTTGCAACTTGCAGGTAAAATATCTGATAACTTGCAATACTACAAGTAATATTATGAGCCTTAACTAGGGCTATACTTATATGAGTCATAGTATACATGTAACTTTGGTTATACATGTATTAATGTTGACCAATTTAGCTTGATTCAATGCTATTCTCAGCTTCTATGTCCAGATTACCTTACATTATAAAATGTCTAGATAGAGATGGCTATGTGTATTTATACTTTATTCTGGTAAAAAAAACAACTTTTCACCCAGCTTTTGTATGTCGTACCGGTCGAAACTGGTCTTGTCTGGTCTGGTCTAGGTCTAACAGCAACCCACCCCCTATCCCTAATGCATATTTAACATATTTGACCAAACATGTCGATCCTTTAATAGCAACAATCAAGCATTGGTACAGTGTAGAGAGTAGTATTATATACTGCTTTCAAGCAGTACAGCTGTGGGTGGCAAGGTGGTCTTGTGGTTAAGTTGTTGACTCAGAGTCTAAAGGTACTGGGTTTGAATCCCTGGCAGGCCCCACTGATGTGTCCTTGGAAAAGTCACTTAACACTTTTCCTCAATCAACTCAGGTGAAAATGAGTACACTGTACCTGGCATTGTTCAGGGACATCCTCTCAGATTGGATTTAAAGCCTACACAGTTCAAACCTACACACTCAGGCTACAGTCCGGATGTACATAGCTTGTACTTACTATACTCACTCACTAGTAGTACAAAACTGGTAAATGTATTACCCCTAAATGCGGTTTACCATTTTTGCAACAACAACAAAAAAATGTCTGAAAATCATATGAAGGCACAACATAGTACTGTACATTTGCTGCATGATAACTCTGCATATCATTGCATTAAAAACATCTTTCCATGAAAAAAAATAAACAAAAATTAACCTTCCACTTGCTAAGGTACAGCTGTCTTCACCAAATGTGTATGGTATACTGAGTAAGGCAGCAGGAAAAGGGTAAATATCCATATTAACAACCTCTGAACCTCTGTAGGTTGAAAATGTTTTGACATAACCCAAGCTAGACCAAGCTTTCAGCATACCAAGCTATAGTATAATGTACCAGCCTCCAGTCAACATGTTTTCAAATAGTTGTTTTGTCAACATGTACGTGAAACATGAACTTCTGACTCTTTGTGTTCATCGCACAATGTTTCAAATCAATATTATTCAGATTTCTGTACAGTTCATTAGAGGAATAAACTTTGAAAACATGAAAAAGACAATACTGATAAGTCTTCAATTGCCAGTCCCAAATATACAAATTCATAAAGCTATATATTGTAAAACTTGTTTGTATGATACAGCCTTAGAAGTTTCTAGACCATGCAATCCATATTGTTATTGTTGGCATTGCTGTAAGCCTTTCGAGTACATGCCATCCTTGAAATCAGCCGGTAACAACAATCACGCTGAGTTATGCAGGCATTCACTCAGAGCCAGTAACAGCCAGTCTAGGCAGGTTGTATCAGGAACGTTCCATCTCGGCTGAGAGGGGTGTCAGGTTGCTGCCTTTACAGCATGTGCTGCTGTGTGCGTCTTTTGTTATAATGTTTGATCAGGACTAGTAGATATCTGAGCCTTCATGGTGGAAGGGAAGGGACAAAGCGACATTCAGAGGTGCAATGTTGTTATGTGCAGTTGTTGTACATGTATGTGATGTTATTACTGTACATGTATGTACTAATGTTGTTCTATAGGCATACTGCATGCATGTTTTGCATGTATAAAATGTACCTGTTTCTTTTTTCTAACAAAATATTACAGAAAAAATAGTGTTAGAAGAACCCTTAAACATGGCATGAATTTCTCTTTCACTGTATTGTATTGCAGGTAACAAAAAATGTTCCAGGCCTTGAATAGGGCTATACTATGACTGAGTCATACTAGTACGACTCAGAATGTATAGTATATCACATATTTGTTATTATTAGGCTGACTACTACTTAAGTCAGCTTACTAGCTATTTTAATCTCACCATGGAAGGTAACAGAATGATCTGCCTGGAAATTTAGACTATATGTTAGTGCTAGAAGTAAGAATCTGCCAATATAGCATATGAATATGATGTGATATGATATGATATGATATGATATGATATGATATGATATGGTCGAGGTGTGGAATAGGGTACAATGTAGATGCTAGCATTTTGCATATTTTAGATACAAACAGCAGGCATTTTTGAGAGTCAGTCTTTTAATATTTTACATCTTTCTCATTAACTGTTAACAGTATTATCTGTTTCCCCATGTTTCCTGGGGTAACTATTATTAAATGTAAAAATATAATTGCTCTGCCCATTTCCTAGACTCTGGTCCTTAACCATCCCTAGAAGCCCTTTTGGTACGTCCCTACACTTATTTAAGCAGTACTCCTTAATAATGGTAACCTAGTTTGACATGCCAGCCAGCACGCACACAGGATATGCAAATGAGGTTGTCTGGCGGGAACCAGTTGAAACCCAAACAAACCAGCCGAGCATGTTTAAACCCCATCTAAGTGCAGTGTCCTCAATAGAATACTGACTGCTTCCTTTGCTGTCAGTTACAGCGTCTTGTTGTAGAATCCTTTGTTAGAGAAGAAAAAGGCTGTGCCATGCTTTATACTAAACAGTGTGAGGAAACCAGTAGGAGATTAGGATTTACTCCTGACCCTGGGAATTGTGATCAGTGGTTATGTGATGTCGTCAAGCCTTTCAGCTACCTTCGCCTAGGAGAAAAGTATGTCCTGGTGTTTTCTTGGAAAATTTCTGTGTGTGTGTTGTTGTTTTTTTTTCTTTGATCCAGCAGTTGAACTTTTATGTGATAAGGAATTTCTGTCTGTATTTTATCTGTTGTTGATTGGGGTCTGCATGGTACTATTGGTAGGGGTAGTGCAAATTCTGGGCTTACGTAATGTGTTGTCCTTGGTTACGTCAAATTAAAAAAAATTGTCCTTAGTTACATCAAATTTATAAAACATCCCTCGAGCAAAGCTACATGTACCAGTAATTCTGTTTGAACACAACCGATTTCGCTTTGCATTGAATAGGCGGTGGTATACTAGTATTTGTGAACCATGACAATTGAAATGACTGGTGACGTCTCAGGGAAAACAAAGGCATTCAGACCCTTGTTGTAGACATGTCAGCTTCATGTAGTTTGATTAGCAGAGGTTTTTCATTCTTTGTGCCTTCTCTCTCAGTCTCTGTCATGAATAGGAAAATGATTCATGTGTAAATTGTGTTTCATCTGGTGAAATTTCTATCTGAGCTGCACACATTTTCTCCATAATCAATTTAGCAAATCTGCATTAGGAATCATGCCAAATTCTTGGCAGTCATAACATGTTACAGTAAATTCAGAAACATTCCTAAAATAATGAATTTGAACATTTAATGTTGGTCACTGATTTGCAATTATACAAATTTGAGAAGGCGCACAGGTTACGCCTCATAAAAATAAGATACAGGCCCCTGTTGTTGTAGTGTGCCAGGTACATGTATTTTGTGTTAATATTTGACAGACTCAGCTGCAGGGAGTTTGAGCTCCAGCAGTTGGGGCTACTGTAACACCCACCACCCTGGATGGGAGGTAAAACCATGGTGCACTGTTCATTGCCTGGCCTAAGTGCTTAGGCTAGGAGCTAGGCCCTTGCTCGTCTTGATATGGCTTGCGCGGTTCTCAATGTAGTTGCTTTATGTAACAGGGATGGCTTTTTCATTGTTGGCAGACATCATACGCCCAGCCCCTTGTAGTTGTAGGTAAACATGTTCCACCTACGTTATATCTCCCATAAATTTCTGGCACTGCTCCTTATCAGTCACTCTTGCTATTTGGCGGTGTTCCCAGATTGTGCTCATGCAGTTTCTTTGTGCAAGCTGGGTACCGTTACTAAGTCAGGCGATCTTAATTTGTTGGTTCTCAGACATGTATGTAGAATTTTAAGAAGATGACATCATGAAAACAGAGGGCTTTCGAAGAATATTTGCATTCTGGTGACTGTGGTCACTCCTGAAATTGTGTGAACCGAGGTAGAGGCTGTTCCCCCAGACTGTTTTCATGTTGATGTTCCAATCTGGCATTGTTTTTTTTTTTTTAATCTGAGAACTAAGAAATTGAATTGGTGTGGCCTTGTGCTTGCTAGCTTGTTTATCAAACTTTATGTTGTAAGTTGGCACTACCTCATCCTTTTTCCTCCAACAGTGGCCTACAAAACGTTGTCTCCTTTGCCGTATTGTTTCAGCAATATATTCTTGCATAGCTCACGGTTTGGAATTCTTTGTCTCAATGAGATGTTATCTTATCTTATCTTATGCAATACTGGACAAAATCCCGCCAGGGGCATCACGTCCAGGTGCCCGCCTCAGTGTGGCCGGTGGTGGTGGTGCAACCGTGCTCAATAAACTTAACAAAACTTGTGCATTCAAAAATATAACAAGAAAAATGATGTGTTGGCCACACTAAGTATACATAATATTTACATATGGGGTTGGGGGAGGCCCATGTGTTGGGCCAGCCCCCGTTTAAACAAATCGAGTGACTTGGCAGTGACTACTTGGGACGGGAGGTCATACCATTCTATGGTTGTTCTAGGGAAATAGCTAGTTCTAAATGTCTCTGTCTTTGTTGTAAGAGTAATAAAGCGGAAGGGGTGACCTCTAGTTGTATTTGTGTTCGGTGTCAAGTAGTCGTGTATGGGTACTGCTGCCAGCTGGTGGAAGGACTTGTACATAAGTGTTAGGCGTGTTTGTTTTCTGCGCTGCTGCAGTGTGGGAAGGCCAAGTGATGTTCGGAGTTGTGTTACACTGGTTGAGTACCTGTAATCCCCACATACAAACCTAACTGCTCGTCGCTGTACAGCTTCCAACTTCTCTATCAATGTGTTTGATTGTGCATGATTGCGTACCTGTGGGTCCCAGACAGCTGAAGAATACTCCAATTAAGTCTGTATTAATACTATTATATATTATGCATAGGGATAGTTGTTAAACTTGCCACAGGCAGATGTTAAACTTGCCATGTATAGTCATCATGTTTACGATTGTCAGAGCTTTTGGAGTGACACATGTTAAACTGCAGGAGGCAGGTGGCCCATTATTGTACATGAGTAGTTAGTTTGGCAGTTTGTCAATCAGAGTCCATATCCGTCAGCTGTTAGTGAATCGCAGCCCAACTGTCACTGCTGACAGGAAGTGGGAATTATTAAGGCTAAATCCAGCTGTTTTAATGGGGGGGGGTGACAGGTGCAGTGTGCCCACTCACCCTCCAAGCAGAGGTTGTGGGGAATGATCATCAGCTTTTTATATACGGCCCGTTTTTTTGTCGCTACCCCCTTGGGTTGCGGATGGACTATCTCTCTATCTGGCCTGGCCAATTTCATACTCTATTTTTGAGCCCTAGGATCTGCTTGG